ATGTTCTATATTTATATGCTTTATATGCTTGTTTTAAAATAGAAAATGATTAAAGGTCATGGTTGGCATGAGATTTAATAATTTTGGTTGGAGATTCTCAGTTCCAGAAAATAACTCATGAACAAATATAATGTTGAGAAAATTAGGACGAAGAAAGATAGGAATCGACACAAATTCTGAAGAACACAGAGATTTACGAGGTTCGACAGACATGCCTACATCCTCGGGAGTAGAGTGGCGACTTCAGAAAAGAGTACAGAGTACAAGATTCAGAATTTCAGGGTCTAAGAGACTCGCATAGGGTTACAAACAGGACATATATATAACCATATAATACAATATGTAATTACTTAAATTATCTGTGTATCAAACTGCACGGTGTTGCCCTCGCACCCCCAACTCACATAATGAAACTCCCCCGATCGGACAGATCCTTCTGCTCTACTCCGCTCCAGCATCTGTCTCATTTATGATATATGAGTCATACCTAACATATAAGCTGCCCTCATTATTGAAAATCTCATTTTTATAACAATAATTCATAGAATAATTGATCTCAATTGTTTTCATGCAATCAGTCTTCAAAGATATATTTGAAAATTTAACTTTGCAGACTATTTTATTGTAGCAGACAATGGTGGCAGCTCATTCCCCACAAACCTGCAAACAAAAAGTACTTTTCAGTAAGTTTGTATCAAAAAGAAAAGCAGAGGAACAAATTTCATTCAGACCAACTTCACTTCACAATATTGGAACATTGACCATTTATGAAAAATATTAATTAACAAAATGTGATTTTCTAACACCCTGAAACATTGCTATTTACAAATCTAACACCTTCCTTTCTCATTTTTCAATTCAAATATAAAAAATCATGATGAGCCCCAACCTTTTTTTATCTTTTTTTTTTCTTATAAATACTCAATGATTTGATTATGACACATGTAAATACATCGATTTGTCAATTCAAAGTCTTCGCTTGATGTTAAAATTTGTAAGTTGTAATGTTTTTTATGATATGTATATACCGCTTTAGTGTGCTGTTAGTGATATGCTTCGACTAATAATTTTTTTTTACAGAATAATGATTTTTTTTCCAGTGATATTTGAGCGAATTTAATTGCAAATACACGTGCACGTAACTTTGAACAAAGAATTTCATGGTTGGAAGCGTAAATTTTTAACCAACAAATTAACATGGCTTGTGTAAGTAATGACATCTATAAATTAAAAGTCCTGTCATAAAATATATATGAAATATATGTAAAAAAAAGGAAGTTTAAGCCTAAACCATACAGCTATTAACATGAGGAATCTAGCTTTGGCATAATGATGCTTCTCTTTTCCTCTACTGAAATGATTAGCATAAGAGACAAGTTTTTATATTAGCAATCAAGTAGAGGAGAAATGATTGTTTATGTAAATCAAAGTCCCTACAACAAAAACATGCATTATGTTACAAGAAAACAGACTTGTCTTACACTTCTTTGTCCAGTTAGTCAATATAAAGGAGAGTAAACTTTACCCTTCAAAAAAATAAGTCAAATCAACGCATAAAGAACATTATACCATATATTCTCGTAATATATATATATATATATATATATATATTTATAGGAGTTTAGGAATTTTTTGTGCAATGGATTGATGTAGACATGCAGCCCACTATACATAATAAAATTTACATAAGGAGAAAAAGATTTAATATGTTATGCACATTATTTCTCAATCTATACATTTACACAATAAATATACAAAATAGTCCATGCATTCATTTTCTCTTATACCAATTATTTTTCATAAAATTTCATTATCAACTCTGTACAGCTAAGTGCTGGCCTCTTACAGAACATAAAGGCAGATAGCTTTAAATAACTGAATGATGATGCTATTGGAGTTTGGATGCATCTGGACTCCGCACGTAATATTATATATATGGGAATTAAAGTTTCGTTTGGTACAGCAATACACATATATGATTCTCCAAGCATATTAAAATTTTGTTTTGTACGCTAGTCAATGACAGAGCCAAGATTTAAAGAGGGGAGGAGGTGGGTGGCGAAAGAGTTTACTTGAGGAATTATTACATGCAGCAATCGTATATTTGAATGACGGTCCGAATGAGCCGTTGTGCGATGTGAAATAGTATGGTCGCATCCAGACCATTATCCGAATGTACGATCAACCAGAACATAAAGGCAGATAGCTTTAAATAACTGAATCATGATGATATTAGAGTTTGAATACATCTGGACTCTGCACGTAATATTACATATATGGGAATCAAAGTTTCATTTGGTACAACAATACACATATGATTCTCCAAGCTTATTAAAATTTTGTTTTGTACACTAGTCAATGACAGAGCCAAGATTTAAAGAGGGGAGGAGGTGGGTGACGAAAGAGTTTACTTGATGAATTATTACATGCAGCAATCGTATATCTGAATGACGGTCTGAATGAGCCGTTGTGTGATGCAAAATAGTGTGGCCGCATCCAGACCATTATCCGAATGTATGATCAATCCACACACAATAATTTTTCAAATTTAAAGGATTTAAACATCCATAGTATGCTTATAAGTGAATTTGCAGGCAAATTTTAATAATTTACTTATAATATAAAAGAGTATTTATGACAAATAATGCGGCATCCTACGTCATCCCTTGCAGTACTAATGATTTCGTGGTTGGACAACTTGCTTCATACTTATATTTCTTGTGCTGTAAGTTCTAAAGATTGGTGCTGATGGGACTAAAGAATTTTGAAAGTGCAACAGCCTTCAAATCAAAATTACACCATGATAACTTTGAGGTGGGGGCTTACTTTTCCTTTTTTAATAATGTAACAAAATATCACATTATTACATACAGATCATCAAAAACATTGATATTTATGAACTAAACATCTATGTGAATATTATGAATTATCGAATCGATGTATTTATTCGTGCCACGATCAAACTATTGAGAAATTTGATAAAAATGAAGAATATAGGTTAGGTCTGTACTGTGAATTTTGATATTTTAGCGAGAGTTTGAGAATGGATTAAACTGCTGGTTGATTTGTAAATAGCAATTTTTGGGTGGTCTGTATGTAATTACCCCAACTTCTTATTATTTATGATTTGCACTAAATGTTTTTTTATTATGGATATAAATGTTTGACCTATTACTTAAAAATCTTTTGACAAAAAATTGTCACACCAACCATGGTTACACTTCTGTCAAAAAGTGCAATACTATTTTATAAGTAAGTGGCAAAGATAGTGACTTAAACCATAATATATATCATACATAAATGCATACATACATACATTCATGCATTATATATATATATATATATATATGAGTGATCAAATTATTAAAATGTGTAAACGATTTAGATATCTTAGGTTTGTTGTTCAATGCGATGGTGATATAGATGGGGATGTTAATAGTAGAATTCAAGTTGTTTGGTTGAAGTGGAGGAATGCTTCGAGCCTTCTGTGTGATAGAAAAGCATAATACTAAGTTAAGTGTTGCCGAGATGAGAATGATTAGGTGGATATA